GCAATGATATGTAAAAAGCTTCAACTCCATTCTCTGATTCATCAATCCCAAATCACTTAGATTCGTACTCATTCCACTCTATTCCTACGATTCATCAAACTTAACTCAAATCAAAATGAGCAACTACTAATACATGGAAAATTCAATTACCTTGCCACTCCAGGTATAAGCGTCGGTATGGCAGAGAGCAGTATACAAAACTTTAACCCGAACTTCACCGGCTTGCGGTGGAGCCACCTGCACATCCTCAATCACCAAAGGCTTGTTGGGTTCCCAGGCCACCGCAGCTTTACACCATTTCATAATCCATAAACACACATTTAGCTATAAACTTTTAGGGTTCATAAAACTTGCAAGTGACCAACACACACAGAGATATATGTGTAAGTAGTAAAGATGAAGATGCATAGAATATAGGGGAAAAAAGTACCTTTGCAGGTGATGACTTGACCTTGTGTAGCCATGATTTACAGACCACAGAATCAAAGAAAATAAAATAGTGCTTTAAAGAAGATGAGTCTACAGCTAAATGCAAATAGATCTCATTCTTTATACGACTTTCTAACTTCAATTATTAGTAATAATAATGCTGTGTTTGGATTTTTATTTTTATTTTTTCATGTATCTTAGCTTAAAATACTTTTCGTTAAGAAAAAAACAAATTTCGTAAGTATTATCCTAAAGTTTATTATCTCTTTCCCAACATCCCAACCCCACTCTCAACACCATCACTTTCCGTCACATCCCATTCCATCTCATCTTATAGTGGGTTGCTAGATTATATATAAATATTATTGGAATAATTTTGTTTTACTATTTACCAAATGTTAAAATATAATTACTTCTTTCATTTTTATTCATTTGTCTTGTTTTGATTTACACGAAATTTAAAAAAGTAAAAAATCTTATGATCTTAAATTAAAGATATGCAAATCTTGAGATCTTAAATATGTCAGGTCGAAAGTATAGATTAAAATTTGTTAAAATCTTATGATCTTAAATTTGGAGGTCTCAAGTTCGAAATTCCTTGCCAGCAAAAGCAAGGAATTTGTCTTCTGGGTCGAGCATGTCGCACCGAACTTGCCTAGTGAGGGTTACCTCTCCTATGTGGTTTGCGAGCTATTGCATAGGAGCGGGGATTTTACCCTGTGCGCACCCAAATGATAGCAGTTGCAGGTTTCCCTCGTCATCAAAAAAGAAAGTAAACAATTTGAAACATATAAAGTGGAGTACTTTTTTACAAAATACTAAAAAAAATCACTTGTTTTAAAAAAAAAGAAGCTATTTTGTAAGAAAATAATTTACTTCGAATCAAACACATCCTAAGCTATTTGTCTTTTTTCATGTTAAGCCCAGCCCACTAAAAATCTCATACCACCCGTACTTGCTGTTATTTTCTTTCCATATTTTTTTATAAACTTACTAAAACAAGCAATATATATATATATAAAATATTTTTTTGAGATATATTAAAAAAATTAACATATAAATTGAGACACAAAATTAAGAAAGTGGATCATATATTACTTCATCAAAAATACTACTTGGGACGTTTCTAACAAAACTGTCCCTTTCAAATCTTGTATATAGTATTTTTATTTTAATACATAAAGGTTTGGAGTATCATTAAAAGATAAAATACCACTTTCTTTATTTCTATATAATATATAATGAAACAGCTGTTTTGGTTTTTTTTTTTTTTTTTTGTTATTTGTTTGTTTATTTAATTAAATTGACTTCTTGGCATGTGTATTGCACATGTATTTTTTATTATGTTATGTAAAATTTTGTTAATATCAATATTATTAAAATAAAATTTTCCGTAAATAATCATGAAAGAATAAAATACACATTTTTATATGATTAATGTTGATTTGATATGATATTCCTTAGTACCAAATTGAGTTGTTATAATTTCAGTAAAACCCACTTAACCTTTTTGTTTTTGACATTTTGAGTTTGGGAAGCAATGAGCTGGATTAATGCATATGTTTTTAAAATGTCAAAAATGACTCTCTATATGACACACTTTTAGGGCTAAGGCCACAATAGAATTGGGAATTGGTGTCATTGGTATAATTACTCTCTTTGTTCTGTTTGGTAGACCAAGTAATTACTTGGTAAGAGGGGAATTGGATGTAATTGAATGGGAGTAATTACACTCCTCAATTCCCAAGGGAGGGTAGGGAATTGAGTGTAATTACACCATGTAATTACATGAATTTTTTAATATTATATTTTTTTAATATATTTTTGTTTGAAATACCAAGACACTTCTTCCTTTTTCGTCTGGACATTTTCATTTCTAAGAACGGCACAACAACAAACCCTGTACTTCTTCTTTCAAGTAAGATAGATTCTTGTTTCATTTTACTTTTCATATTTTGATGTCTAGGTAGATTATGTATGAATTGTATCTTTGTATTTTCTCTTGTTAGTTTTTGAGATTAAAATAAATATGAGAATTAATTTTTTTTCTCTTTAATTTATGATAATAATAATAATAATAATAAATTAGAAAATTGATTCTAACAATCAGTTATACATAGTAATATTATTTATTCAAAATCTGATCTATTTTAAAATTTAACTGTGTAATTACATTCGTCCAACCAAAAGGACAAAGGGAATTACACTGTAATTACACTGTGGCAACCAAACAGGTCAATGTAATTACTAGACTGTGTAATTACTAGGCTGGTAATTACTACCCTAGTAATTACACCAATTCCAATTACCAAATGGCTTTCCAAACAGACCCTAATAAAACTTTTGAGTAATGATATTTTACTACTCCATTAAAATTCATACATCTCTTTTTTCTTCCTTTTATTGCTTTTAATTTTCTAAACCCACCATTAAGCTTCATGGTATATATATTTGTTTTATTTTAGAGCTCATATTTTTGAAATGTCTTGTTATACCTTATTATTGATAATATTATTAGTATAAAAAAATTAAATGTTTTGATATGTCTGAAGGAACAGGTTTACTCAAAAGTTTTTTTCCAATGTTAGTTTCTCAGTTTCTTTTGGAGATTTGTTGAGAATTTGATTTTTGTACTTCTTTGTTCATTTTCTTTGTATATATAGATTGTCATTTATATAATATTTGTTAATCATCAAAATACCATATGATCTTGAATGTTGATTCATACATCAAGGTGTCTCAACAAATTCTCCATTTTTTATGATGATTAACTCATAGAAACACTTAAAAATTTCAAATAGAGCGATTTTTTTGGCAATAATATGTTATAGTTCATATATGTGATCTAATCTACGACATTATGCAACTCTCTATTTTGAAATATTACTTTATAAAACATATTAACTATATGTTTTAGGTAATTAGTTGAGTTGAGTAATTTTGCTTTAGAAATTAAATATTTACACCATATTTAAAAAAATACATTCAAATTTTAAATATTCTTTATAAAAAGTTTGACCAAACACAATTTCTACTTTAAAAGTCCAAATTATAAAATACACATTCTCACTAGAAATAAATATAAATTATTAAGAAATCATAATTAATTAATATACATTCTCCTAATAATCAATTTATAAAAGGTTGTATATATTTATTCCAAAGGATACATGTGCCTCACATAACAATCCAACAAATCCATTATCCACATAATATTTTAGGTGTTCCATAGTTCTATGATCTCAACACTAACCTCAACAAATTAAAAAAATGTATCTGACAACTCATATTTAGATCGTGTCTCCAATTTTTTATTTGACAATAGTAAAGTAAACCACAATATCCCTCTTTTTTTATTAGTTACTCCCTTATTAAAATGAAATATAAAATAGTTTTAACAACCCAAATTCTTAATAGCAAAAACAGTTTGTCTCTACTCTCTCCTTATCCGTTTTTGGTCTTATGGTATTTAATTCGTGTTGTATCTTTGTGATAATATTTAATATTAACCTCATTCTCAATTAGGGCTGCTTATCGGTGGATCGGGTGGATAATTTCGTTTAACGATTTGACCTATTAGATAGTGATTGTAAAATTTACTAATCCACTAATCAATCAAAGACTGTTATTGAGCAGTAAATCAACAAATCTCTACTTTATTTTCCATGAACACACCATGAAAAAATGACTTCTTTTCACTATTATAAATGTAGTTAAATTATAAAATTCTTCTATATTACACAAAATATAGATTAATAGTAATATAGTAATAGTTAATACAACATTAAAGTAATAGGTTTTCAAGTTTTTGACTTTACGGCTTTAGGATTAACAATATATAATTACTCCCATAGTCTACTTTTAATTGTCATGTTGCGCTTTTCGAAAGTCGATTTGACTAATTTTCAAAGTTAAATTAAATTATATTAATTCGATATTTTAAACAAAAAATTTAGATATTCAAAAACTATACGAAAGTACCATAAATTGCAATTTTTTGCATATCAATATGATGAAAACATACATCGTAAAATGTTAGTCAAAGTTCTTATCGTTTGACTCTAAAAAAGGAAATCATGACAATTAAAAGTGAATGGAGGGAGTATATAATATGACAAAATATTAAATGAGGCTAATATACCTAAGATAAAAGTGTAAGTATGGTAACTCTTAACGGATTAACGATTTATCTGATAAGGAAATTGAATAATCCGCCCCTATATCAATAAGCAGTTAATTATAAAATTTGAATAAGTTCACCAATCGTTTATTCGATAACCCAATACCAATAAATCAATAAGTCAATTTTATGATTGGCTTATCAGTTATGATGCGATTTTGAACACTCTTAATTATTCTGATTGTGTTGGCAAATATTATTTATGTCAACACTCCAATGTTTCAGAGTTACAAAAACTGCTGATTATGAAATGTATAGCCAAAAATGTGCTGATCATCTTAGTTCATGTTATAGAACTGCAACAAAAAGAAATAATTTTTGAACTTGATTATCTGTTTTAAACAGACTTCCAATTTACTTTATTAGATTGCTGAGAAGATTAAGATATATATTCAGAAATTTAATGGTGTAAACTGAATATTGAGATGAATTCATGTACTAGAATTAAACAAAACCAAATTGATCACTCTATGATAATATCAATTCAAGAACATATATAGTACATATGTTGTTGATCAACCAACTCGAATAGCATGAGGATACTGTCCATCCCGTGCTGACCAGCCACCTATGGACTCTGCCAATCAAGCCCTATTTCCATCAAGCAAACCCCATTTAGCGGACCTGACATTAGGTACATGTGTTTTTGACCATTAACTTTATTACTATAATTTACCAACAACAAATCTATAATTTAGCGGGATTCACACTGAAGCCCGCCCGGCCTGTCGGACGAATCAAATATTAATATACTTACCCAAATTATTTAAGCACTGACATAGAATATGTGCAAACTCCAAAACTCATCAATACCTATTAAAACAAAATAATTATCCAATCAAAATCGTATATCAATTTATGAAAAGAAAGGGACACTTAAATAAAATTTAAATAATATATCTTTAGCCCAAATATCACAATAAGACAATGGAGCATATCTACAGGTGTCAAAATTGTAGGTAACCCGTCTAACCCGCCCATAATTTTAAGGGTTGGGCTCAAGATAATTTGAGTTGGGTTCAATATCAACTCATTCAAGTAATAACCCATTTAAGAGAATCCTCAATTGAGCCCAATTTAATCTCCAATTTTAACCCGTTTATTTGCATTGATGTAATGTATGTTCCTATACTAAAGGTTACTTTCTATTTTGTATCTTTTAAGATTTATCTATTAATTTGTAACTTTATTTTTTTAATTTTCCTTAGTTGAAATTCAAATTGTGGTTATAAAACTTAAATGACAAAATATTAAAATAAGAAAAAATTACTGAAATACACGTTTTATGTTTCCCTTATTTCTAATATTCCCCTCTATATCTAAAAATCTCTAAAATCCCTTATTTCTCTCCTAATTCTAAATTATTTTATAATATATCCGAGTTAGTTTTTAATGTATCCGAGCTACATATTATGTATCCGGTTTGTTTTACTTTTTCAGGGATTAATGTAATTACAAACTAAATATGGATAGATTGTAATTTCATATTAAAACTATTGATTCCTAAAATTTATACTTAAAATAATTGAATTAAGGGAAAATTATATATAATAGCAAACTATTAATTCAAATTAAATGCTATAAATATAGTTTGATTTAATTGTACCCCATAGCAAACTGTTGCTATTTCACCTCTCTCCTGGTGATCTCGCTCGCCACTCTCGTTCTCTCCCTCGCCTCTCTCATTTTTTATACAAACGCAAGTGTATAAAGTGCATTTGTGTTTGTATAAAGTGAGAGAAAATTGTATATATACATATATTTTCGTTCTCCTCTCTCCCTCTCCCAATCTCGCTCGCCACTCTCCCAGATCTCGCTCTCTCACTCGCCTCTCTCACTTTATACAAAAACGCAAATGTATAAAATGCGTAAAAATTGTACATATACATATATTTTCGTTCCCCTCTCCCAGATCTCGCTCAC